CAATTTCATCCATCAGTGTTTTTGATTTCTCGCAACACTCTAATGGGCCCACATTGATGCGACTTGGAGGGGTGGTCTTTACACGAGTAGTCAGCCGAAGACGAAGTTTCGCACGAACCAGCGTGTGATCAGAGCCACCCGTGGTGCCCGCTTCGGCACTGCTATACGACCTACAGTCTTCTACTGATGAGATCCAGCATGACTGTATCAAGATATAGTCGATCTAGTGGGCTGTTATACCGTCGTTGGAGTACCAAGTAAGAAGGTGCTTCCTTGGGTGCTGCAAACACGTGTTGGTTATAAAAAGACGGTTGAAATCGGAGAAATTAATTAGCTTGTCACCGTTTTTGCAGCAATGACCTAATTCATATTTTTTAATTGTATGTTTAGTTGAAGGTTCTTGTCCATATGTTCGAACGTTACAATCTCCCACCACGATAAGTATATTTCTCTTGGGGATGCAATTTACTACCTCCTGAAGACTGTCGTAGAACTCGTCCTTTGCTACGCTATCGGATGGTAGATTGGGGGCGTGGACTGCTACCACAGTGAGGTTGGTGGGATTACCCCCGAAGCGTGCTACAGCTGACAGTTGGTTGGCAGTGTTGTCTTTTCTGTTAAGTACATATTTTGGACGGGAATGTTGACAGGAGATTGATGTGTTTGAAGCTTCGATAATTGGAACGACTGGCCTCCATCAAAGTAGGTCGACTATTTAGATGTGAATGTTCGCTAATAATCAAATACGATCTTGTTGAGAATTCTTCAGTACTGTTGTATTGTTAACACATTAACAGAGAAGAATAAACAACTTCGGGTATTCAGTTACTTAACGGATTGTTATGGAAGACGCTAAATGTTGGAATGGAATATAATTGAGTATTTAGCTTTGCGTTTCTTCAAAGATTAAATTTTCAAATGAGGTCTAAGTACATCCTTTTTTAAATGGTTAATCCATCCGTATGGGTGTTAATTTATAATCTCAGTCGTTCAAATAAACGGAATTGGATCAAACTGTGGAGCTTAACTTAATCATGTATTCCATAAAATCCTCATGCAGTGTCAATCTTTTTCTGCTGCCACAAACAACAGGCAATAAATCGGCTTTAATGATCAAGTGCAGGTTGATCGAACAACCATGTTCGTTGTGTCTCAGAGTTAGGAATGTGCCCACGCTTCTGTGTGTTTGCGGGTTTACAGAGAGAATATAACTCTAAAGTTAGACGTTCTACTCTCAATCCGGAACTTCATGATATAGACACAGAAGTAACACACGTATACTGACGATCAACTTAAAAAAGAAGAGCCTCTGTCGAATTCTGCTTTTGGCTATCGGACACAAATTTACAAATTAGCTTTAGGAGACGTATGAAGAATTTTGGGGTTTGAGGATCCTCCGACGAAAACGTGAGTATAAAATCGTCTAGTTAGGGATTTTAGAATAAACAAGAAAAAAATGACCAATTGATATTCAGGAACGTATACAATCTTGTTACAGATTAAAAAAAATCAAATCATACTTGCCTGAGTGACTCCTAATCCCGATATGGCATGTTGTTTGAGGCCACCAGTATGACCCCTTTTGATGATGAGTTTCCCTAAACGGGGTTTCGGCAGCTGATGCTATCATCTGATTTGGTGCAACTGGTGCAGATGAAGGATGAAAATGTGCAAAATGTGTGCAAACCAGGCTTCTATGTTCTCTACCATTTAAACGGGAGAATCCGGTTTCCCAACCACGGTGATCAAGATAGCCAGGTTAAAACAGTTCGTCAGATGTAGAACGCTTTAATCGAATAAAAAGCTATTCATTTCTAAAAGTTTTGGTTTTAGATAGAACCCCACGAATTTCGGTGAAGGGTAGCTATGAATTTTGAACCACTCTTCGCATCGGTTAGGCTTTAAACCAAGCTGTGGTATATCACCTCATCATTCTGGCGTATCCTTAATGTTGCTCATTTTCCGCGATTGTCCTTCAGCTATTTGCAATGTTCGATGAAACTCAAGCACGCAGAAGCATGGTAAACTAGGGGCATGCCAGATCTAAATGTTCACAGAATTTTGGATGCAACCTTCTTTAAATGGCCCTTGTGACGACTGACGCCAATAAGAACCAAACAGTATTCGTTGGTGTTTGATGAGATTCATTGATTCTCTAAGGCAATAGCACGGTTTCCTGAATAAATTTATTTTCTCGCCAAGTTTAGTCTACCAACAGTACTTATTGCAAAAGAAAAGTATTTATTCTGAAAGTGTGATAACTTGAGAACACCAGTGAACAATAGAATCGCATTCAAGCACAGATTTGTCATTGATGTGCAAAACTACACATAGGAAGGGACTCATTTTATCTACATTTCTAACTCTGTTGTTGATCTGNNCCGGATAGAGTTGAGACAACTGACCAGTATTGTTACTTGTGGCGCATGGGGGGACTTTCAGGTGCCACCGATGGGAACCAGGATTGGCTTCATCTGATGTTGACTTGCAAATGAGGGCAGTGAATCCCAATCATGGTTTGAAACGGAGGAGCGCCCATAAAATAACATCTGATACTTTTGTTCCAGTAAAGCCTGTCTTCTATGTGTGTTCTACACCGTTCAACCATCAAAACCCTTCGGTGTTAAAGAGAGTTGTTTCAGGTGTAATCGTTTTAATTATGCAACAAATCCTTGTGTGATGAACAGTAATACGGGTGAATTATACCGTCTCAAACATTTCAATTACGGTAGCTGGCTATATCAAACCTTGAATTGATGAATCACACGGTGCCCCAATAAAATGATCGTCGGCTTGTGCAGAGCAATAGGGCAGCTGCTGCAAGCAGAACTGATCCCCATACATAGTCCCTTCAGTCTGTTAGTATGTGCATACTAGGAGATCGTTTGTTCTGGATGAGGCAATCATGATAACAAAGTTAAGGTTCACATACCAAAGATTTCGTGACTCCATTTAACACAGGTTTACGCTAAATAATGTTGTTTGATATGAGCTAGTATTGATGAATAATTCTCTCTTATTTTCCTACTGTCCATTATTTTATCTTCCCAAAGAACGGTTCAAATCAGGCATTGAATAGTTAGTTTTACCTGTGAGATTGCTGCTGGCACGTGATAAATGGACTTAGTCTATAGTTGATCACAACAACAACCAATCCAATTGCAGAAGATATTCTTACAACCCTATCGATCGATTCGCGTGGATGTGAGAGCGGGAGTATCCAAGTTTGGTATGCAAACACAGCAGGGCGAGCTTAGTGGTACAACCAGACAACATGTATGTGTGTGTGCATGTGTGCAACTGGGCTATTTTTAGTCATACAGTTAGTTGACATTTAATGGATTTTCACGGCATAAATTATTTGCGTTTATTTACTTTAAATAGGTAATTTAATTATAAAACGCGCAAATGATGAAATTGTTGATAAATGTTTATCATCTTCACCTTTATGGAATACAGATTTTACATATAAAAGCTTACTGATTTTTATTGAGATTATTTCATAATCATTCATTTCAACCCTATATGTTGCCTAAAACCTTTAGACCAATATTCATTGTTTTATTCATCATTTATTCCAGCAGATGAACATTTACGAATACATTACATGAAGTTTGATTCTTGGGTTGTTCGAAAGCAAAACCAGATATCACAATATTTATTCAATAGAATAATCCATAGACTTAAATCCTTATAACCAACTAATCTTTCTATTCTTCATAATAAATCATTTCTTTTAACGTAAATGTGTAAATGTGTTTAGAAAAGTTTCATAATTCCATTGGAAAGTAGCCACATTCCGTGGCATAACAGGCGTACTCCGATCGCGTTCAATTTAATCGTCAGTTTTTTGTAACGGACTATAATGTTTATTTTTGTAATTCGTTGACAGTTAGTTCATCAAACATATGTAGATGAATGTTAATACATATTCCACTATGACCTTTTTTGGTTTCAAGGTATGGAAAGCTCACCCACCTACAACGATATAGACATCTTGATCTCGGTCGATCTGAGCACCGATCCGTCAGCTATTCAAAAAGTTAAAGCTGCTGTCCTTGATGCACTGATGCGTTTCCTTCCGGAAGAAGACCTCTGTGCCCTTCCCAACACCTGGCCCTATCACTTTGATTCGCTTCCTCCATCCGTGGGTCAACGATCGAAATGTTCCTCTCTGTCTCAGAGTACTGCAGATAGTGATAGATTTTCCTCAGGTTTTGAAGCACAACCTCTCTTCGTTCCCCAATTGAAAAAGTCCACCGTCGCAACAGACACTTGCTTACCGGAAGATATCTCAGATATCGTACCAGAATTGAACGGCAAGGATTCAGCGGCTATTGCAAACCCAACCAGTTCGGGCAGATCGCAATTCCTGGAAGACGCCGGTGTAAGTGGCAATGTTTTGTCAATCAGTTCGCCTTTTTCAACTGCTTCTCAAACGTCTGTCAATAATCTCTCACCCAGTTCAATCCCTGGTCTATATTCTCCTAGTGTGCCATCCCCCGTGCAATCGATTCCACCTCATTCGATTACTGCAACAAGCAGTATGAGCCTGCGTGAATCGTACATTTACAAACAGTTCCGTAAATATGGTACAAACGATGCAGACTGTTGGTCGCTGCTCTCGCTCGGCGTCCCCTCATCTAGATCTAAAGTGGTGGAGTTCAAATTTGTCGATCGGATGCGTCGACAATTTGAATTCACCGTGGACAGTTTCCAGATTCTTCTGGATCCAATTTTGTCGTTTATTCGAGATCATCCTGAAACAGAAATGACACCTAACTTCTATCCCACCGTCGTGGCTGAATCAGTGGCGGGTTCTTTCTCACTGGCTTTGCATCACTTGAAAAATAAACTCATTCTGACCAAAGAGCCAGAGATGATCCGCGGTGGAGGACTTCTCAAATATTGTCGCCTTTTGGTCAACGGATATCAGGCGCCTAATGGTATCGACATCTGTTCTCTAGAGCGATACATGAGCTCACGATTTTTCATTGATTTTCAAGACTTGGAAAGCCAGAAAGCAAAAATCGAGGCGTTTTTGGCCAACCACTTTTCTGATCATGAGTTTGACCAGAAAATCGAATTTCTCAAAACAGTGTATCGAGTTGTAAGCGGCTCGACAATTTGTCTCATGTCATACGAACGTTATCAGACACTGAATTTGATTTGTGGACTTCTGCAACAACTGACGCAGCATCAATTTGAAGCCCATCGATCACCAACGCTCAGCCTGGATTGGTTAACTGAACAACAAAACCTGGTGCTTGATAGGGTCTTTTTGGGAACGCAACTGTTCCCAGTGATTTCCAGTGCACGACCTCTTCGGTATTCCTGTTGTCAATGTGGTCAAGGAACGACTGGGTTAGGTTGTACAAACCCTATTTCCCATATTGGTCTTTCATGTGGGTTTGATGTGAATGAGGCAAAACTCGAGGCCGTTGATCCGTCCGTTCCGTCAACGAGACAACAACCACAACACGAAAGATCTTCGAAACCTACAGTCGAATCGTAATCATGTGGTCAGTAGAATTGCACCGACCAGCTTCGTTCCTTAACTTGGATTCATAGGCACACACACAAGTACAAGGAACTATGTTCTCATCACAAGTTTATCTGACGTTCCGGATTTTGTTTACATTATTTGGGCAGTTGGTGTTCATCGATTCTTGGACGGAGAGAGTTTCAGAAATTTTCTTCTTCTTCCTCTTCTTCATCTGATTTCGTCCACCACCTTCTGTGTCAGTTCGACGAAAGTATTCGTTATTCACTTGTTTGCAACACCTCAGCCAGTCACTACTGACCGTTATGCTTACACCCGTTTCTATAGACGTCGGTGAATGCACGATCAATCACTTGTGCCAAAAGGAGCATTTACATCTACTGTCATACAAGCACACAAGCACAGAAACACACGCACACAGAATCCACATCCACAAAATGGAACAGTTGACAATAAAAACGAAACAAATATAATCAGTCTATTAAATTTATACATTCGTGTCAAGTTATATAAAAAATACCTGCATATAAATTATTGTTGTCCTGATTGACGCACAATAAAAGCACACCCTCAGTATCAAACAGTGCGCGAGACTGTTGTTTTGTATCATGGAAAACACTTTATCTATCGAAACAAAACGTTCATTGTGGATCTCTTCGTACATTTTGTTTCACTGTGAGTGTCCTGCTCAGTTTCAAGCCCCCTGGCTCCTCGCTTCCCAATTTCATAAGAGACCGCATATAGCATAGTCGCTGGGCCAATCAAACGCATCACAAGGACCACTCTGTCTATCCGGTTTATTCGGGACTATGCTTACTTGCAACTTTGTAACCGGTGAAGGTTGTACTGTGCTCTACGTACGCTTAAACATCCTGCATTCCATCACCACCACCATCATCATCACTGCCGTCACTGTAGCCATCGCTGCCTTCCCCATGCCATTTCTCTCCTCCCCGTTCTGTTCCAGTGCGTCCAGTGATTTCCTGACTAACTTGATAAATTTCTCTCTGTCTGTTTCTCTCAGAAGAACTATATTCTTGTTTTCTGTTTACATCAGTATTCGTTCACTGATGTGGGACTGTAAACTCTACACACACAAAAAACAGATTTGTTTTTTAATTGGAATGATGCAAATGATGTAAAATTTGTTTTGTTGTCTGTGACCGGTCCGCTTCAGCATCGTCTTTCACTTCTTTGTAGATACCTTAATGTATATATATATGTGATACCTTAGTTTGGGTTCATTGTGTATGCGCGTTTGTATGGGTATTCGAAACACATGAAAAACACACAACCCAGCAATCTTTTGTTTCTCCAAAGTTGCCATTTATCCATCTATCTATCAACCTGACCCCTAAAGGCATGAGCCAGTTGCTGATTAATTGCCAACCAATGTGAACTGCATCGATCAAGCGCACCCATATTTTCCGTCCATCCTACCGATCGAAGTCGGCATTGGTACTCGTCACTAATCTGTGCTTCTCCTTTCCGGGAATTAGAAAAATTTCGCGGCATCGCATTCCTGTTGATTGGCGAATCCCGCTACCGTTTTGTCTGTGTTCTAATCCCTTGCTGTTGTCGTTCCTGTTCTCTTGTCATAAATTGTGATAATTATGTTTGTTTATTCGATCGTGTCTATACCATTCCGACTGACTGCAATCATTCATCAGACTGCACTGACTATCTACTGGGATCTCGTACGAGATCAGAAACTTTGGGCGGAAAACGATCAACAAGCACGAGTAGCACACACAGACACACACGTTACATCATCTGACTAGTGCGATTTGCGGCAGCCTTTCCGGACTTGTGAATCACACGTCAGTATCCAATCTCATCGTCTCAAGCCACCGTATAGCTGTACACTCCGCCACCCACACACCAAAACACACGAATGATGGGTGCTCATTAAAGGTAAAATTTGGATGGAGATTTTATGGACGCAGCCTGTACAGTGTATGATAGCACCCGTACTGCACCCAAGTATGTGCATTGAGTGAGTATGAATGAAAGTAAACAGAAGATTGAAACAACCAGTTACGTCATCTGCGTGTAATAAATGAATGTTGTTCGGTATCTTAAAATGATGAGATTCTTTTCGAGCAACGCATACATATTTAGCTGTGTAACACGATGTTGAAGTTGCAGTACAAACCAGCACAGCATTCATGTACAGAGAAAGCATTACGCCATATGTGAATCATATTAGGAATAACAGCTCCAGGCCAGATAATCATCGCCATCAGAAACTGACCAATCGTCCTAATTTACTCGAAGCCATTCTGTGATCTGTGATTTTTTCAAGCATGTCTGTCTTGTGATCTATATCTACCTATCTGAATGGATATATCGATTTACCGATGCTAACAACTGAAACTGAATCCTCCTCTTATTGATTGAATTCACCTGTCCCTTAATTCCGACAAAACACACAATCATTCCCAACCCCTGTGTTGTCTATATCCCTTCCGCCCACTCCAACACACTTGGTCGTCTTTGGCTATCCGTTTTCTCAGAATTCTTGTTTTCTGGGATGGTGGTGATAATTGAACAGTTCCTTTTTGCTATCTTAATTGTTACGTTACTGTTATTGCATATTACTTCATAATATTTTTATGTTGTTTTTGGACATCTGGTATTGGGACGTTTTCCTAAAAAAGGGATTAGTAATACTAACAAAAACAACACAATCACCTGACGGTGTAGCACATTTGTACCGCATTGCTCTTGTTTCTTCAACCCACCCTTTCATCTGTCTCATTTCAGTCACATTCAGCCAGACATACACATATTTGTCTTTGTATTCCTATTTTTTCAGTTTTGGGCACTTTCTGTCGACCTTCTCTAACTCCCTCTTTATTCTCTTTTCGGCACCCATAACATTTTGTTACGCTCATTTTCAGAAATTCTTTTATAACATTCGGTTATTCTGCCCCCATTCCTCTTTTTTTGTGCTCCCAAAACTGTTTACATACCGCCTTATCACGACCAATTGTCTCATTCCTACTCCTCTGTCTATCGATGACATTTGCGATTGATTCAGACCGTATTGTTCATCGGTTTCCCGATTCGTGGTAATACTACCACAAGAATTACCACACACGCACACCGACGCTCAAAGAATGATTGAGCATGTATGTTCCACCGAAAATAGGTGTCGAGCACGACTGTTTGCACCCAAGCATGGAAACTTCATGGGGGTTGACCACCACAACGGTCTGGTGCCACCTCACCGGTACTTTTGTCCACACATGACCGGTGGAGATCATTGAGTTGACTGAGTTGACGCGTGGTCTTTCTGTGTGAGTGGTTTTCCGAATCCGCCTGTTCTTGTGAATGCACTTTGGTCATTCTGTTTGTCTCGCACTTTTCTATACCATTTTCTTTCCTCT